CTGAAAAAGAATTCAAAATGAAGGTCATAACCATGCTGATGGACTCACAGAGAAATATGCAAGAGCTAAGGAGGAGGAATACAGAAATAAAACAATCTCTGGAAGAACTTAAAAGCAGAATGGACTTAAAAGTATCATGGACTAGAAATCAGAGAACAGGAACACAAAGAAGCTGATGCAGAGAGAGATAAAAGGATCTCCAGGAGTGAAAGAATATTAACAGAATTGTGTGACCAATCGAAATGGAACAATATCTGCATTATAGGGTACCAGAAGAAGAAGAGAGAGAAAAAGGGAAAGTGTCTTTGAAGAAATAATTGTTACAAACTTTCCCAAACTGGAGGAGGAAATAGCCTCTCAGACCACAGAAGCACACAGAACTCCCAACAGAAGGGACTCAAGGAGGACAATAGCAAGACACATAATAATTAAAACGGCAAAGATCAAAGACAAGGACAGAGTATAAAAGGCATCCAGCGAGAGAAAAAAGGTCACCTACAAAGGAAAAACCATCAGGTTATTATCAGACTTCTCAACAGAAACCTTACTTGCCAGAAGAGAATGGCATGATATATTTAATGAAATGAAAAAGAAGGGCCCTGAACCAAGGATACTGTATCCAACATGATTATCATTTAAATATGAAGAAGGGATTAAACAATTCCCAGACAAGCAAAGGTGAGGGAATTTACCTTCCACAAACCACCTCTACAGGCTATTTTAGAGGGACTGCTCTAGATGGAAGCACTCCTAAAGGCTAAACAGATATCACCAGAGAAAATAAAATCACAGCAAAGAAAGAAGAACAAATACTAACTAAAGGCAAAAAAGAAAGAGCACAAACAAACAAACAAAAAAACAAACAAAAAAACACCTAACATACAAAGAATGGAGGAGGAGGAATAAAAAGGGAGAGAAATAAAGAATCATCAGACTGTGTTTATAATAGCTTAATAAGAGAGTTAAGTTAGACGGTTAGATAGTAAAGAAGCTACATTGAACCTTTGGTAACCAAGAATCCAAAGCCTGCAATGGCAATAAGTACACATCTATTGAAAATCACCCTAAATGTAAATGGACTGAATGCACCAATCAAAAGACACAGAGTAATACAAAAAAAAAAAAGCAAGACCCATCTATATGCTGCTTACAAGAGACTCATCTCAAACCCAAAGACATGCACAGACTAAAAGTCAAGGGATGGAAAAAGATATTTCACGCAAACAACAAGGAGAAAAAAGCATGTGTTGCAGTACTAGTATCAGACAAAATAGACTTCAAAACACAGAAAGTCACAAGAGATAAAGGGCATTATATAATGATAAAGGGGTCAATCCAACAAGAGGATATAACCATTATAAATATATATGCACCCAATACAGGAGCACCAACATAAGTGAAACGAATACTAACAGAATTAAAGGAGGAAGTAGAATGCAATGCATGTATTTTAGGAGACTTCAACACACCACTCACTCCAAAGGACAGACCCGCCAGACAGAAAATAAGTAAGGACACAGAGGCACTGCACAACACACAAGAACAGATGGACCTAATAGACATCTACAGAACTCTACACCCAAAAGAAACAGGATACACATTCTTCTCAAGTGCACATGGAACGTTCTCCAGAATAGACCACATACTAGGCCACAAAAAGAGCCTCAGTAATTTAAAAAAACTGAAATTCTACCAACCAACTTCTCAGACCACAAAGGTATAAAACTAGAAATAAATTGTACAAAGAAAGCAAAAAGGCTCACAAACACATGGAGGCTTAACAACATGCTCCTAAATAATCAATGGATCAATGACCAAATTAAAATGGAGATACAGCAATATACGGAAACAAATGACAACAACAACACAAAGCCCCAACTACTGTTGGACACAGTGAAAGCAGTCTTAAGAGGAAAGTATGTAGCAATCCAGGCATATTTAAAGAAGGAAGAACAATCCCAAATGAATAGTCTAAAGTCACAATTATCGAAATCGGAAAAAGAAAAACAAATGACGCCTAAGGTCAGTAGAAGAAGGGACATAATAAAGATC